TACGGCCATACTATTTAGTTGCACGTTTCATTCGTGGATTTATACTATACTACACTAGCGTACACTGACAAATCTACTCTCATCCGACGTGTATTGATCGGCTCCGTCCGATAAACATAAAATTGAAGGAAGGAGATCATTACCTTATCACCTAATTTGACAAACAGCTTTTGCATATTTTTGGCTGAAACTCAGGCCCACATCTACCGAGCTTATTGAACGTACCTCCGAGTATTCACACCATCAGCAAAGCGAATAAAGTGTGAGATCCCAAAGGGAAAACGATTTTGTTCCTCTCTAGACGATAAGCTCATTTCAGAACCAAAACATAAACTGGGCACTTTGGAACCACAAATTGAGAAGATGGAAAAAACTGGTACTTACTGAAACTCACAAAAAACTTGATTTCGTTTGATTAGACCAGTGACTCATTGCAGAAACTGTTCCTTTTCTGACGGGAAAAGCAGGGCAGCTAAATGCCTTTTTTGTCTCCCGATTACATGAACGAATGTGCGGGTTAAAAATGCGGATGTTTTTAACACTCAGTAAAGAGTAAGTATGAATAAGGTAGAAGCAACAGTACTGAGAGCATGACACGTCTCTGATGTTCACTGCAAACGTCGATGTTTGGAAAAGGAAAGACCAAAGCATTGTTACCCTAACATTTGAAAATTTGAAGCGAAGGAGCCGCGGAGCGATTTATGCAATGTGGAACAATCGCAGCCCTGCACACACGTTTTAGTAAAATTATGATCAAACCAGATAGAACATCCCTACCTAGGTCCGTAATTGTCACTGTATCACGAACAATCAAATAGGCGGCTAAGTTCACCGAAAATTCTCAGTCAAACGTCCAAAAGATGGGTACACCTAATGTGGACACTAGGCGCATTGATTTAGCCCACGAGAATTCATATGCCGTGGCAACAAACACGAAGCCATTAATCCTGGCTCTACTAAAACATCTAGAGAGCAACGAATGGATAAGGCGGGTTCTCCTATCCATGACAACCGTAGTCCCAGTAAGTTGAATTCCTCGTGAATAGGGAGCGAAAATTGCTCGGAACAGTAGAACGATGATAACTCAATGGCTGCAAGACTATCCGGTCTCAACGACCGAGGCACATCCAAAGAGAGACGACCTGATGTAATAAATAACCCACGGCAGACAATGGGCGGTGAACACTCCAGGGACCAGTGTCTTCAAAAATCGGTAATACCCAATGTTACCTATCAACCAGTCCCCAACGACCACCACGAAAAGCAAGCTTCCCTGTTGAATAGGGCCAATAACAGATCTCTTGGCTACGCCTACTTATCAGTATACGGTCGATAACAAACACTGGACATGTGCTGATAACGCAAGGAAATCGGTCAACAGGACAATGTTACCGCTACGCTGTCTGTTATTGATAAATCGGTCTGGGAACAAGAGCAACTCCTAGCGCAGTCGGGTCAATTCAAAGGTCAAAGCCGGAAGAGCTAAGGTGCTATTTACAAATGGTTAGACGACAATTTAATAACAAAACTCAAACAATTCGTGATGGTCGGCTGCCGTCCTCCATAGTGCAGTTGCATAAGCTGCGGGCTAGTTGGCATAAACCACTAGCAGTCATGGGTTCGATCCTCCGTAGAGGACCGAAGGATGCGTACCACTGACGAGCCCCAATAGTGCGAAACGGCCGTCTGGTGCTTTTCCGGATAGGTAGTTGACTTATCTGGATCATCGGCTGACTGCGACGAACAAAACTCAGACAATTTTCGGACCAAATGTGTGTAATAATGCGGCTCTCAAATGCAACTTGTCGCCAACAGCGATGGTTAGCAGATAAGCACAGTGAAGCGAAGCGGTTCTAATGTCAGCGTAGTTTAAAGCAAAATGATCAATCGTCAATCGATCAGCCAATGAGTAGTGCACATGGAACGCGGGGGTGGTGAGCGAGTCTAGCCTACTTATACACAGACAATGGCATGTGTCCTGGACGAGAGTGTATGAATGTCTGGATGAGAGTTCGGTCAGCAAAACAAAGGAAGTAAGATGGGACCAGTACAGACTAATGAAGCTGAGTGTGTAACTGGGCCATATAACACGCGTAGGGAGTAAGACAGAAGGTTGGAGTAGCAAGCTTAACCATTGAGCGATGCAAGACGGGTAAACTTTTGTGGTTAATCAAGGTCCGAATGTGAACGAGAAACAAAGTAACTGAGGTTTTATCATGCAAAGTCCAATAGGTAAGCAAGGGGTAGTGATTGGTTGCTTGGGAGTCAATAAATAAGGGAAATTTGTCCGGTACACCGTCCCATGTTTAGTCAACTCTTCTTATTGTCCTTACCGAAAACCGTTTTTCGGCGGTGGCGGGAAGGACTTCGTACCTACTCACATTCCAGACACATCTGGTGGAGGTAACTAGTTGATCTCACTCTTCCCACAATTTGAGTGAATAACAACGCTAGTCCAGTGCTGTGGCATCCTCCCAGAAAATGTACTGAGCCCGTTCTATTTGTTGCCTGCATAATCTGGTGTGTGTCAGTAATACGCTCACCAAGTTATCGAGTGGCCTAGTTTAGAACAGTAGAGTAATGCGTTGCATAACATGCCGGTTAGGATACAGTTTTGCCTTCCATGGATCTGACGCATTTTGCTTTTTAATACTTCGGCTAAGAGCCAGCCACTGTGGGTTAGTTCCACAATTGCTAAACTGTGACAAGTGTCAAGCCGACGGCAGTCTAAACACTACGCCATGGCCCACTTCATCCCAACGCTATCGACATTCACATGTGACACAGTATATTAAACTAAAAATGTATTGGCGGTTGATTGGAGTACATCATGGTTGGCGGCATCCGGTTTCGGATTTGCCTGTCACTGTGCCCAGTCACAGGACGCCTGCGCCTACAGATGGACCATGGGTGGCTTGCGCTGCGCCACTCACAGTTCCATCCACACACCCCATATCCAGGTTAAACCCGAAGGAATAAAACCGGGAGGCATGCGGATGGGAGCCACGTTTCATCAACGAAGCCGGCCCACTCTCCTTCACAGGCAAACGCAAGTACGCTGTATTTGGGGAATCAAGTGCACACAAGGCGGTGGCTGGACCGTAGTCCGCTCCACAATGAGTGCATGGAACCACTCTTCGAGCCTAGCACGACCACAAGGACCGTGCATCCCGTCCCCTCCAGCAACGATCAACTGTCTCCTGGAGCCAGTATGGACGAGGTAGTGGGTAATAGACAGGTAGGCACCTTGTCAACAAGCACATCAAGCGCAGCCACACCTGGGATGTCAAACAACAGCCAATCATTCAAAATGTCGATATCGAATAAAGTAAACGCATATGGCGACATACTCGTAGAATGAGCATATGGAAGAAATCGGTTAAAGGTGAATACGCGATATGTACAAATTGCATGAGCGACGTGTGCAAGTTGGGAAAAGATTATCAAGCACGCAGAACAAACCAAATAAAATGGAATGAATTTTATCCACATTAAAAAGACCTAGTTTAAGTGCAAGTCGGTTTAGCTCACCTGCGGTGAAGAAGCATCATGAATGCAACATCAGCCTCAGCATGGGGCACTTCGAGCCCACCACTCACGCAATTACATACCATGTGTACCACACTTGAGCCCAACTACTCAGGAGACAGCGGCAACTTCTCAATACATAGCAGTTTCAGTGATTCTGCTTAGTAGCAGATCCACAATCAACAAACTACACCTTGTAAACACACCTGCAAAGTTCAATGACCCACAAGTAACCCGCGTCATTAGAGTATGGTGATTCTCTAATACACGTGACGCTATAATGACTTCAAACTAACACATGGAGCGAAAAGATCGTTTCCTAAGAAATGGCAGTGGGTATATCATATATGAACATAGAATATCTATAGCGGAACCTATAGATCATTCACAAGTGAAATATGCCCCTGAATCTCTACTTGTCAGTTGCAGGTGCCTTCTCTAATATACTGTTCGCTTGCACACGGAATGCGACGAATGCGAGTATCGCCAACATCACTTCTGCAATTGAGGTGTCCTAGGTTCAAGGCAGGAGTAGGACCTCTGGTAGGGACCTACCTTACCCTCCGGGGTAGTCCGCCTCTTTGGTCTCCACCTGTTGCCAAAAGGAATCAGTCTAAAAGACTATAAGCAGGATGGCCATCAGATGTTGCATTTCAAATCGAATTGTTAGCACAGGAAAACGACCACAGTCGTGTGGCATGTGGAGGCACAAATTGTGTATTGTCGCTTTCATCGGATTAAGCTCGAATCGGAGACGAACTTGATGTTGCCCCCCGGTCCCCCCAAAGAGATATCAAATTTTGTGGCATTCGGTGTAAGGGTTGTTAGAGCACCTACCTGTCGACGCCGCCGGACATGGGAGGCTCAAAGCGTGATCCCGTTGCGGAATGGGATACGGCTCAAGTGTCGCACTGTGCATCATGCACACTCCCTTCCGCAAATTTTGCATGCATATTAAAGGAATATAGGGCTAACGGCAAATCAATTCAAGTTCATATCTACGCGCTTCTAAGTCTACTGCCGGATGTACATAGTATGCGAGTGGGACATGTGATGGCGATATATCATCAGTGAACGGCTGAGTTAAAGGAGCGAGTTAGACACCCAATGGAAGACGGACACGACGAATTCGATCACTGGAATCTGACTGGCCGAGATTCGTGTGCGTAGTCTGTCTAACGCTTCGGCCAATAAAGGCTGTTATTAAAGAAATTGTACGGATAATATAAATCGAGGAGCTATACGTAAAAACATGTTATAATTTTCTATGCGTACACCTGTTCAGGAGGAACGCGTGTCCCTGGAGTACTGATTTCTGAAACATGACTGCGCATGTGATGAAACAAATCAAACTACTGTCACACTGTAGGAGTAAGCGTCCAGTGCGGGGTAACAGTCGCAGGCGAATTGAGACAAGGATGCGATCGACTGTTAGGTATAGGAAAATGCTCCTCCGCTGTGCGATAACTCACCTTAAGGTAAACATCCAACCACCGATTGACAGTGTACCTCAGGTATGCACAAACGGCGTTTTCGTCAATAAGTTTGTCCACGTTGGCAATAAACGCGCCAGTGCGATTGAATGCTCGTATAACGGAAGCTCCGAGCAAAGATGCTGAAGTTTCGCTGAAATGAGCCAGCAAAGGTGAACGAGTTAAAGCGTCCAACCGACGAGCCTGACGACTGCAAGGAACGTACATCCACAATAGGCCCAAATAGATCCCCGCAGCAGGCAGGATGATGGCGGTACCCAATCCAAATGGACGCAGTGTGAACAGGATGATCAGCAAAGCTACGATAGTGGAACTGAAAGAGCCAACCACTTCCAGAAGCGTATATGGGACGTCGTGGTCCAAACACTCTGTGTCATTGCTGAAGCGGTTGAGTATGCGACCAAGCGGAGTTTGATCGAAAAACCCGACAGGTGCACGCAAAACGCGAGACAGAAGATCACGATGCATAACCTTAAAGAGGGAGTGGTTGGGAAAACTCGAGTAAGGCACCGTACCAATCAGGTATAACTTGCAGAAAACTCTCATATTAGAACGGGAATGCATGAAACAGTGGACAAGAGGAGGTGACATGAATTGTGTGATATCGGAGCTAAAAGGAATCATAAGCACATAGGCTAAACAACAAGGGTGAACGACGAGTAAAGTCAGGGGACGAGTCCAGCTGATCGAGGAATAACAACTGAATTGAACTGCCGACAATCTAGGTCCCTATTAGGATAAGAAGAGTCACAAGGAATGGTCGATTTACGTATACCATTTCAACAACTGACTATCCGGAGCAGTTACCCAGCTATGTCTCGTGCCCACAAAAGAAAAAAACCGAAGTGGAAAGTCGCCAGACGAATAAAGCAATGAAGATGAATCAAGTCCGAAAAATGTATTGGTGCTGTATCAGGAGGGTTGTAATCGAACAAAAATTAGAGCATCTCAACAATGCGCGCCTCGTGCTCCAACTATACGTGAGATGGTAAACAGAAACAGAAGATCAAAGATAAGCAAGCTCCGAACGTCCATCCAAATCAGTGGCGGAAACTAAGGGACACGACAACACCAACTGCAATGCAGCTAATATCTCACAGTCACCGTAAGTGGGTTGAAAAACTAAATGAACGGCACCAATGTATGCAGAAGGTTCCTGGATGAGCTGATCACCAGTTGGCACAGCTACTTCAGTATCACGAGGACGTTAGAAAAGAGATATGGACCATTACAGTCCTGCAATGGCATCTGATATCTCAAAGTGAGAAGCATCTGTTGAAACTTGCACCGCACTGCATTAGTCTATCAAGAAATGCATACACAGAAGGTGAGGGAAACTCAAGGAGAATACCGCCAGCATGTTCCTAGTTCGTCAGTTGGTTACGTGGCAGACCGCGGAATTCGATAGAATCGGTGGGGAGAAAAGTATGTGTGGCCAGTGGGGATAAAGCGCGGCTGAATAAGAACAATTAGGCTAGCCCCTAGGCATACGACCATGGCAGTAGAATAAATGAAAAATTTCCACTTATTCCTATAAAAGAACCACATGTCGCAGTTGGGTCATCCCAGAGAAATAACCCAGTGATCAAATAATGAAATGGGAGGTGGGCAGGGACAAAAAAGAAGCGATTAACTGAGTCAGAACGCAGATTTTGGAGAGCGAAGACAACCGAAGTATGTAGCGCTGATTGAGAGACAAAGAAAATAATATTTGTAACCTTGGACGATAGATTCCGTGTCAGATGGCATAGCGTAAGCGATACAGCAGAGTGACGGAAAGAAACACGTTCACATGTGTTGTTGAGCACTCTGTTTAGATTCGCGCGTACGAGGTTCTTTAGTGGGAAGCATGCAGGTCTTCAGTTTACGATGAAGGATGTCCAATTAGTAGCTATGCATAATCAAAGATGACGCGAGTTTTCTACAGCCTAACAAGGACTAGCTAAGACGTCGCAACGTTGCATTGCAGATATAAGGTACAAGAAGAATAGGCAATACTGAGGGAAGGTGCTGTATGCTGATCACAAAGACGGTAGCTGAGACTACTGTAGTGTTTCATAAGGGTCAAATTAGCACGTTGTAACGTAAGCTGCAAAGTTGGACTCTGACTAACACTGGCTAAGCTAAAACTTGCGAGAGAGGACTAAAAGAGAAAGACCGTATATCTCATTTCAAGTAACAACTTAGTCCAGTTGTTATCACGCAAGCATCGTTCCTCGGATCACAATACGATCCAGCATTATTGGCCTCCCGCGAGTAAGGATGATGCCATTGTTTGTCTGGTTTCAAGTCATCGAGCCATCTAGTGAGTGGCTATGGAAGTCCGTTTTATTGCGATGGAGGTGGACAGGTCAGGAGCAGCGCACCGACACCACTGTGTCGCAGCTCAAAGGACATCAACAACTGTTGTTGCTTGTACATTCAAACTAAATGAAGAAAGTGAGGGCGTAACGGCTTGTCAACATAGTTAAATCACTATCAGAGTGGAATGGTAGATGCGATAAGGAATGTTTTGACTACTGGATAGTAACAAAGACGACGTACCTTGGAGGCTTTGATGGAAGAGAAAAAATGGCATGTCGAGTAGGAAAAAGTGAGGAAAAACAAAGCAACACCGACACCAATGTAGCCCACAAGGTAGTACCAGGTTTTGGAGGCAGCTTGGTGAATGAACCTAGTTCGAACCGTTGTATCATTGAGAATGGAAGCATTGTGAAGAGCATGGTCTGCAGCAAGGAGATCCGGATCGTCAGCGAAAAGCTGCAGCCAGAAGTTGCCGAAAATCTGGACACAGAATAAAAACAACCGAAAGTAAAATGCAAATGCTGTTAAGCAACCGAAAAGGACGTCAAAAACAGTCTGACAGAGACGTCCGATTGTTAGCCTCACCAAAAGAAAGCATGGCGGGAATGGCCTCCTATAGCATAATAAACAGGAAGGTCTAGGTAATACACACTGTAACTTCGAGCAACTACGGGAGCCAATAGTGGTACGGAGGATTGTGCATGACCTACAGCTGCTTCTCATTCCACATATTCAAAAGTGACGTGATAGAACTCGTGGCAATGTTGATTACAAATTAAAGGAGAAGAAAAGAGGAAACAACGCACGGAAGCTGAAAGTGAAATGACCAATATCCAGAAGGGGCAACAAGGTCGATCAGACGGACTAGCAGCGTATACACGGCGTGAACACGAGTACACGCGCCGTTTTGATCGTCGACAGTTCACTTGCAATTCTGACTGTATGGAAGACGCACGGTGCGTATGAGTGACAAACCACTGTGTGATATGTCACACTATTGGCTAGAAAACATGTTAATTTCGCATTGGTTGGTTCCAGTAACTCAATGTTACGCAAGCGCACGTCTCTTACACTAACCACTAGTGAGACACTGTGGAAATATTCGGTCGTACCGTTTAGCACATACTTCGAGGAAGCGCTTCAGCTCTAGCTAAGGCGATCACTGAACATCAATCATTTTGGCAGCCAATCCCCGAAAAACCCACTGCACGGCAGAGTATTCAAGTGACGGGTATGTTGATGAGAACTGACAAAATGTAATATTACGATTACACTTCAGACAGACGGCAAGTAACACTTCTCTAGTCTGCAGTAACACAAGGACTAAGACCGACAAACCACTAAGCTATTCTTGGTAGACTGTGGAGTAAACTGCAGCACGTTGTCACAGTAAGATAAACGTCCTTGAGCAGGGGAACAAAATTAGGTGCAATGCAAATGGGTCCGGTTTTTGACTCTTTGCTGTTTGGTAGTGATCAAGGCATGTTCAATTAGAAGAGATGCCAGTTCGAGCGTTAACAGCTCTGTGACGAGTGCAATGCAACCACGGGTGACACACAACAAGCTTATCTACTCTGTGAAACTAGCAAAAAATGGTCCGCATTCAGAAAGAATGTTCTAAGCGGAATGTTTTCAAACAAGAAAAATATAGAGAAAAGGAAAAAGTCACTGGAGATCTAACCCATAGGTAAGCCAATGGCAGAACAGTATCAGACTGCGGTATCACGATGAAAGATGTCCATTTTCTCTCTCCAACTGTGGTCTCACCGAAAAAGCAGGATTTTCTTTAACAAGAGTAACCAAACACGATTCCATTAAAGATACATTGTGTCATTTCACTAACAAAATGGCAGATGCAGAGGGCAGCTTTGCGCATACCATAATTCTCCGATGCATGCGAGCACACGTAGTTGAGGTTAGGTCCAAATAAAAAATAATTCTACGAAAATGTAGCAAAGCGCATGTTCGGATGTGTGATAGCTGTTTAAATGAAGCTAGTTGTGCCGAATCTCCACAGATCATTCAGTGGGAATGAAAAAGTGTCATCAGCTTGCGTTGACTTCCACGGAAAGAAACCCACATCGGTTATTTTTCGACATCGGTAAGCATAATATCAAGATATCAAGGATACAAGGGAAATTCGGCAGGTGACGTAGCCAATGACGGTGGGGAGACAGAACTAGTCAAAAAGAGCATCCATATAATGCTAATGATGCGACTAATTTGCACCAAAGGTTCGCCCAATACAACAACATTTGAACCAGGTAGCACGATTTGCCGGGCTTTGACGATTGACAATAGTAGCGAACATCGGGACAGAAAAAGGATACTGATGTGGTATTATGGTAAGGAGAGAAACTGGGATCAGAATTACCTCCAGACAAATAAGAACCAAGTGATGAGTGGAAGGAGAGAAAAAGTTAATTAAAACAATAAGATATTTCTCATTTCCCGAGAACCTGTGTCTGTAGAGGCATAGATTAATATGTACAGAAGCAACCATGCTCTCGTATGGGCGATTTGCAATACTGAAGTGGGACACTCATGTACTAGCGTCGTAATGGATGGCTGAGGCGAAATCCAAGGTTTGGAAGCGTGGAAGTTTGTATGTTTGTGGGCTCTTCTTGGAATAACTGATTGAGGAATTTTCCTCATGTGATTATAGTCAGTAATGTATTCAGATAAAGGGAACTTCAGAATATGTTACTACATGTTGCCACATTGTCACATCACCTGGGTGTGATTGGCACTTTATTGCACAAACAAGTAATTCTGATCAGAAAGAAATTTGAGCACATGCTTGTTCTAGACTTTGGTATAACCAGTGTACAATGTTGTTGCAAAGCCTTTGTGTTGAGTTATGTTGTAGTTTGAGTGAAGCAGATCGAAATAGGTCTACTGTGCAGCAGGTTGTAAAGTAGAAACTGCACTCATGAATTGTATTGCTTTAGCGGGAAAAGAACGAAGAACCGAAAACTAGCGTACGCGGTTGAGTACTCTGTAGGTGCTTCTGTAGAGTCGAGAGAAAGTGATGAGTGTGCCCCCGGAAAACGCGCCCTGAGTACAATGAATGTATGAAATGTGATCTTCGTTAAGAATCTTTCTCTCAGAATAGTTGACGAGACTAAGCTTAGCTCCAAGATCTGTGATAATAATGCGTGGTAAGATAAGTAACTGGATCAATCCAAGATGTAATCCCGGTGAACAAAGGGAGAAAAAATAGAATATGAAACAGTCACCAGTACACCGGCCGGCGGCCAGAAGGACAAGACGTCTGCTCTGAAACCCAGAGGTCGCGGGTTCGAGTCTGTGTGGGGGACTGGGCGCCCTTCGTGGCATCCTTAGCCCATGCGCGACTGGTGGAGATTGCGTAACAACAAAGCGGAGGTATGGCGTGCCGGTGTATAGCACCATGGAGCAGCTAATCCGACATGGAAGTTTCCGAACCGCTGATCCGATGGCAGCTTTCAATTAGTAGACCAGCTGGGTGACCGATGAGTTGCGGAAGTGAGTGAAATTAATCATTGGAAGTGCGAACTCCATAAAATGTATAACCAACCAACGAACCAAACAATCAACTAACTAAACAACACACCAAACGACCAACTAATTAACCAACAATCCAACCAAAAAACCAACCAACTAATCTATCCAGGTATATATAATTAGGCATAAACAGTGAGGGGAATAGTGACAAGACTAACGGGCGAAGATAGAAAGGACAGTTGACAACCATTTTAGGCCAAGCCGTATGGAAGCATCAACAATATTGTGTTTTATCGTAACTTTTCGAAGACGAGAATGCAAAGCCAAAGACGCGGGATTGGATTAACAATGACAGAAACGGTCGGTTAGAAGGATATATGAAGTGAGCGCACCATCCATAGAATTAAGGTCACAACATAGGATGTTATATCCAGTTTTTACAGTTAACATCTTACGAATGGGACATCTGTTAGACCTCATGACTTAATCATCCCAAGGGATGCACTTGCAAACAGTTAGCCACAGGTGGGCGTTAGTGAGTTTGCGCCTATCTGACCAGAGGCAAGTCTGTGAGCAACAGCGCATTTCGTGCTGAGACGATCAACGGCTGACTAGTGTAGTATAAGTGAATTTATGCGTAGCCTGGAAAGGTCACTCAGCGTGGTATGATGAGTCATAACATGAGAAATGTAATCATTGCACCCAACTATGGACCAGTCCATTAAGTGGGGACTGATTCAGGCAACTCCTACTGAAGTTGCAAAGCAAACAACTAATCGCGTAATGACGAAACAAACATTGAGTATAGTGGCAAAAACGTGATGCATAAACTCACTGCAACTCCAAGGGTTATGAAGAGTGAAATTAGGGTTAAGAAGGACGAAGCCCAACCCTTGGCCCGGAAGTAATAGGCGTAGGCAGCCAAAGAAACACGCCCACGGAAAATATCTTCATCCGGCATAAAATAATTGGTGTTAGGACTGGAAGCAGCAGACGAAGCGTGCAGAAGATCGGCCGAATTGCGGTAATCTGACCGGGAGCACTCTCCCGAACTTATGAGCTTCGGACGTGAAGTCTGCAGATAAGAGGAATGCGCAACCATTCGGTGAAAAGAAAACAAACTACAATACGTCCGCATATCGATTGATTGACCATCGAGAAGAGACGATCCGTCCCTTTGTGAGCATGATTCCTCGGAGGCACGAGAAATATACATAATAATAATAACAATAAGAATAATAATAGTAACTTCTCACTTGCACATGTAGTCAGAAGAAAGAAACAGCGATTGGACCATTTCGCTCACCGAATGTTTAGAGAAAATCAACTGGCCACGGTACCGAACTTTAGGATACATTAGGCTTAGTCCACTAGCTGCGTGATTGGTCCCCGAGTCGACGGTCTCACACGAGGCAGATCGAGCGCCAGAAGATGCTCGGTTCTATAACATAAATATAGGGACAAATAGAAGTGGTGTTATGTTGATTATAGATGTTTTGTTAAGTGAGTTGTTTGTAATTCTGGTTGACTATTGTTCTGGCAATGTAAGAAAAAGTGGATAAGAACCGAACAGAATGTCAATTAGTGACAAAGGGGGAAAACGACACGGATAAACATGCAGACATTTACTGGGGAAGTAGAGATATACTGGGTCGCATCTTCACACGGAGCAGATGTGCACGATCCCTCGGAGGACGAGCTCCCACGGTTACTGTGGCCTAATAAGTGAAAACAAGAAGGATGGTTTAGTTAAAAGCTAAAAACATCATACACAGACTGAATAAAAAACGACTGTGAGGAAGCACGTGGGAACAAATAGTTGATGTTAAAACATAAAGTGGAACCTCAACGCGAGTGTAATTGAAAAAGGGGACAAACACCGTCTGAAGAACGGAAAATTTATACGCAACAGTATCTACACAGAGGTGGTCAGTAGTAGAGCTCACGGAATTTCGGAATAGCTGGGAAAATGAACAGCAAAAAAAAAACATGTCTGCGGTGAACCAGTCAGTGGTAAAGCAGTAATAAGCCAACCCGGCAGTACCGAGTAGAAAGCGGGCCAAACCGATATCCAAAGACAAAGAAAACACTTAGGTGCGCCACATGGATGTGCAATAAATACTGAATCAGCGCTTGACATGGCTTCAAACAAGAGCGCATCAAACAACCTACGGGAAGACGTTCGAAGATGAGTGTTTCCTAGGCAAAAAAACGGACCACTGGAAGCGACAATGCCAGGGGGCGTGCTAGGTTATTGTACCAATCAAACGCACTCAAACAAATTTTTCTTCGCGGGTACAGAGATGCGTACTTGGGGTGCTGAATAAGAAAGCCATTGAAGCAATAGTGAAAGTAGACGGCCCGACACAGCGCTGTTTGATATACATGGGTGCCGCAGCATACCTGATTAGCCTTCGGAGTGAATAATAAGTTCAATCTTGCTCCGTAGTCGTGAAGGTTGTTGGTTTTTACCAAGTACGTATAAATGCTATGAAGAGCACATCGCTGGAATTAGAGGGCGGAAACCGACTTAAATATCTGTCTCGACGCCGGACGCAAAACAGACCATAATTGAGACCAGCTATGTCCAAATCAATGAGGCAATCGTCGAGTTGAAACGCGGGTCGATGGTGATAAATACGGGTATATACAGCTCAACAGAAAAGGATGTTTTATTAATGTGGTCCGGAGCTAGGAGCGGCTGCACTCAGGTGCTGACGTACACCGGCACGCTGGATTGCTAACTGTCAACTGGCGCAAATTGTTGAGCCGGCACGGGTGAGATGGGACACAGACGCTATATATGTGCCTACCAGCGCAGCGCATACCAAGCCGTTCGGCTGTGCGAAGTGAACGTTAGCAGACATCACAGCCGCAATGAAAGCGTCACGCTTAGACCGCACGGCAAAACAAACGTAACGCAAGCCGTTTGGCTGTGAGAACTGGATGTGAGCCAGACATCACAGCCGCACTGGAAGTGTCATGCAACAACGAGGATGCTGAGAGATGTCAGATATTAGCACTGTTAAACAAAAACATACCGAACACACTCCTGGAAAAGAAAAAAGGCCGAATGATTTTTCAAGCAGTCAACCCATCCCAGGCCATGAGCTTCGCGCTATGTTGCACATATGAGGCGCAACATTGCAGAAAGAAAATAGCCTCATCACATACGTCCAGGCTGTTTGTCTTAGTTGCTAGCACAGCGACCCACCCATCACTTCGCAGGAAACCCTTTGCTGACTTTTCACCTGCGTGAAGGCCGACTACCGATCGATCAAAGCATGACACATTCAGTACGACTGTGGTGCCTGGCTCACGTCCAGTTCTCACAGCCGAACGGCTTGCGATGCGTTGGTCTTGCCGTGCGGTAGAGGCGTGACACATTCATTGCGGCTGTGATGTCTGCTAACGTTCACTTCGCACAGCCGAACGGCTTGGTGTGCTCTGCGCTGGTAGGCACATATATGGAGTCTGTGTCCTATCTCACCCGTGCCGGCCCAACAATTTGCACCATTTGACAGTTAGCAATTCAGCGTGCCGGTGTACGTCAGCACCTGAGTGCAGCCGCTCCTAGCTCCGGACCACATTAACAAAAGACCCTGTACAGTATGATCCACACATAGTCGTGCTCGATAGTTCCAGTTTTACACACGACTGCTGTTTTGATAGCTCTGCGAAAATCAAAAAGGACGCTTGGGTCGCAATCAAAGTTTGTTATTCAAAGAACAAGATTCTGTATCTCGCATGAAATAGAATCACTCACAAATGTGGAGCATCTCTTCTTTTCCCGGCCAGCGCCCGAGATTAGTTTACGTCAGTCCAAGTCAGTAATCTGATATTCCTCAGGCCGGTGTAATTACCAACAGGTTGCGTTGCCGAGGAGTAACCGGCTTTCAGGCCGTTGGCTTCATGTGCACACAGCTCGCTAGTTCGACCCACTACCACTGTAGTTGGGTTGTCAACATACTGACAGCACAAGTACCGCCACCTCTTAACGGACGACAGTAGATCTTACGGGTTTTGTAAGCCCATATTTGAGCACAATTCCACTGTCGTGTAAGACGTATCGGCTGCAGAACCCCTCGGAAAGTACCATATCGTCTGGAGGCAAATATCAAGAGGCGAGTCCAAGAGATGTCGAATGCGGACGTAAGCGAGGGGCTCACAACTCGCTTATTTCTCGAGACGCTTTGGTGAAGAATGCCAGCAGAAAGTACCGCTTTTGCGTGGACTTCCGAAGGATGGATGAAATCTCGTTGAGTCGTTAAGTAAAGAAATTCATTTGGACGACAGAAGACCACTGAGCAATGAATTAAATTTAGAAGAAAGTAGGGGATCAGGAACCGACTTCAAAATTGCCGATCACCAGGTCAACGTTCACTGTGGTCACGGACGCTAGTGACGTCGTAATCGGAGCAGTGCAGAAGCAAAAACAGAAGGCAAAGGAATAAGTCAGTAGAATTCTAACACCGGCAGAAAGAAAGGATTCGAAAGTAGAAAAGGTGTCGCATATTTGTTTGGGCATTGCACAAATGTCGGCTGCACCTGCTGGGTCAACGACTTCACGTCGGAAAAGATCACGAACCGTTGGAATGGGTTGGGTCCTCCGAAGACCCCGGGGGAAATTTGGAGACATGGGCGATGCGCATCCGAGAATACGACTACACAGGAATCACATACCGAGGTAAGGTAATGTAAGTGCGGATATTTATCGCGTACGACGAATGAAGGTGATTTGCCCAGGTTTGTTTTCGGTGTCGAGTGCTGGAGCAGGACCCAGGAAAGTTGGCGGTTGTAAACGTAATGGCAGGCTAATACACAGGGTCAGAACAGCAGGAATACTGAATTGGGCGGCTGCAACCAAAGGCCAAGCCAGTATCCAGGCCGTTCGTTTGGAGTCCTCTATATTGTGGGATGCGCCACAGGAAGTGGAAAAGATGTGAAAACAAGAAATGGATGGATGCGACGCGAGTTCGAAAGAGGTGAGCCAGAGAAAAGAAGCGAGGAAATACATCTGGACTAGGTAACCACGGAGGAGAATATTCATTGAGCAGGTCCTTCAATGAGTAGCGAGCAGAACAGTGGTGTATACTGTGGTAGATAGTGACATCGGTAGTCAGCACATTATGCGTGGTCCCGTTTGTATCGTGTGTCAAGCCCCCATGCTGGGTTGCGTCCCATCCTCGTCAACATCTCAGCTGCCGTTTCCCTATGGTTCCCCACCATTTCAATCACCTTGTCCGTAAGATCAGTTTCACACACTGCGCTTCGCTCCCACTCACGCATTTTGGGTGCGCATCTGATGTCACAAATAAATCCCGCTCCCACATCGACCATGCCCTGTGACTCGCGCGGATCACTCACATTTTGGGCCAAACCGATCGCCCAGTCTGGAGTGTTTAAGAAGTCGCCTCTGGCGGCGGATGTGCGTCCGGACGCATGGGGTGTGCTTTTCGGTTACCCCTGTGAACCGGTTCGGCCCAGGTTCGCATTCTTTGGCATACAAGCTTGTTCGTACAATAACGTTCGGATTTTCTATTTGTCTTCACTCTGAATGCCCAAAGTATCTGTTCATGCGCAAGCAAATGGAAGCCGTTAGACCTGGAATGAAATACTGCATACCACTAAAGAGAATAAACAAGCTCAGTGCACCGGTGAACTTTAAGCATCTGCTCAGTGACATTCCGGCAAGATTATCGGAAAATGTGAGCTGGTATCAAGTGAAACTGGTGGATTTCACGAGCCAATTCCGGAGTTAACAGATAAGTTAGAGGTGCCGTCTGTACACTAAACATTGTACGACGAGCAGAAAGTTGAAACATACGTGACACGTAAATTTTCTCCAGCCGGATAAAGGATTCGGTACTGTGATAGTGGACAAAGTTGAATAACAAAATGAAATCTATTCTTGGAAAACGACGGAAGTTCCAGCCAGATAAAGGATCAAATATTAACATAGTGATAGAGAAGCAAGTGGTAAGGAAACTTCTGAGTCGCAACGCATATGGATACATCACTGAAACATAATAAAACCATTTAAAACCGATTGGGATGCAGACACCTAGAAAGGCGGGAGTCCGCTAACTATAGGTAACCCACTGCGTCCGATAATGTGTATGAAGAATTGCTATCCCAACGATACATGATGGTTGGCGAAACCTTTGAACCCCATGAAAATAGTCCTGGCTCCGCACTGTACGAAAAATTTCTTGCCACCTGCCGACACACTGGAGCAAATGTGCTCATTAGAATTGTACTACTTAATCACAAGAGTGCCTCTTCGAGAAACAGTCGACCATTTATGCAACTTTACCCCAAGTCAGAACCTGTCTGTGGTCCTACCACTGTAATGTCTGACGAATGAAACTTTAAGGTGCGCAAAAAACATACGTTTTGATTTTGAGAGAACAGCATATGAACAGTTACGCGATGTTGTCGTGGAGTTATCTGGGCCAGTTTGAGCAGACCCTTTCCTCGGCTTAATCGAAACGCAAGTTGATGATAGCAATGGCGAAGCAAGATCGTACAGGAAGTATATGGGTGAAATTCTATTCTACGCCAGATGCGAACATTTTATGTGGTTGTTGGCCGTTCTGAATTTGCCTCACCCCAATCTATCGGTATCACATGGGGTGAAACAACAGAGCAGTCCGTCGTTCTTGAATATACTCAGAGCCAGGTTGAAGGTACACTGCAGAATACTCTTTGCTGAGAGAGTACCCGGAGTGAGCAGTGTTTTCCCTTTTCCAGCTATACAGACGCGGCCTAGTGAACACTCTCTTCTACAGAAGCAGAGGGATATGCACCAGAGAAATGTCGAAACCTGATGAGGAATATCTGCAGAAGACTTTATCGTCAAATGGGTATCCTGATAAGCTCATCCAAACTGACAGCAGGCCCCCCAACGAGAAAAAAACCAGTGCTGACGGCAGAGAAAAATTTATATTTGTATCTGCCATTCAAGATGTAAACGGTGTTGGACACAAGTTGAGGTGCACTCTAACGCACACCTACAGAACCACTTAATGGCGATACTTGCAAAACGCAAAGGTCTGTTTTTTAAAATGGTCACAGTAGCTCATCGCTAGATGTGTCACGTTGTTTACTAATTGCGGTGATATTTATGTAGAGAGGATTGGCTGTCAGTTGGCTCAGAGTAAAATTAACATTTGCCGAAGTGGTTGGGACAAACAATGATGCAATCCAACGGGGTGGATAATACGTTAGACTGGAGCCCAGCATCCTCTATTACCCAGGAGGTCTTGAAGGTCTGGATACTATGTACAAGACGTTATTACGAAAAAAAGGATAATGCTGACGATCAGTGAGGCGCTGGTTATTAGGAAACGTCAACCTGTGCTAGGTGCACAGCACTTGCGAAGCAATCAATTAGGTTGCCTTGGTCTTGATTACAACTGGTTGATAAGTGCACGTGTTCCGCCTGCATTATGTTTGCGACTGGAAAGAACAATCGAAATGTTGACATATCGAAATCTTTGTCTATGATTTGACGAAATGGCTGTAGCGCAGTCACTGTTTTACTGTTTTAATAAAGTAACGTTGATCAGTTCCGGTTTTATTTTGTTGGTTTCTGGTAGTTAACGTGTCGCTCACACTTGCTAAGCAAGCAATCGTTTACATCACCGAGCACACACTGCACCAACCAGGGCGTGAGTGTCATCGGGGGACTATCACTCGTGTAACTTGACAACCTACTAATGTGGTTGGCGATATACTTTAAGCCACTGAATGGTTTTGATACACATATTAAATGAAATGTAGCTGAATCAAAAAGAACAACCAATGATGAAGCAAGAGGAACGCAATCGATTAATGTTTCACGTCTATTTCTTACTGTGACGGATTTAAGTAAAATTTGCTAGTATGCCACAAAGTGACGACGAGCAAGCTGATGGACAACCACTGATATAGGATGACGCAACCAGTATTCCCTAATCGGCAGCTAGCAAAGGAAAGAAAGTTCGTAAGGAGGAGTCTAAAGGTTTAAAATACAAGAACTAACGATTAAAGAAAAGCGAACATATAGAAAAAATCAGACGCACAAGTAATTTCCTCACGTTCAAATTTTCCAGTAGGTCGCAGGTACTCCGAGAATGGTACAGTTGTGTCATTCATTAGATCCTTAAGTAGGGAAAGACGAAGTAGAAGAGTGAAGATAATGGATAATCCGAGGCGGTCATTACTGTTTTTATACCCGAGTATACGAAGACAAACATCACCTGGAGTAACACATATTTGAAGAAAAGACACAATCAACGTCTAGTTGTGTGGCACGATAGCTAGCGAGTCCCAAGTGTTAAAAGGCGAGGAATGGTAAAAAAATGAAAGAAAATAATGGTCAAGTGTTTCACATTAACAACCAAGTGGTCTGTTTCCAGCCGAAGAACATTGACAAAATACCGAGACCTTCACAACAAAGTTGCTACAACAACGCATAGAATTATCGTCCATATATACTCTAGGCAGAAAATAACTTTCGGTTATGACAAAGTGTACCGTATAGTACCGATTATATAAGCCCCTCCACAGATAAGCCGATAATGACTTTGTAACATCAATTTGTTCATAGCCCATGTATTAGCCAACCCCTAAAAAAGCAGCAAAGGAGAAACGAAATTGTGTTGCCACGCTTTTGACGTCATCACCATGTGCTCTCACTTCAGTGAGTTTAAGTGAAACCTGCTCTACTACTGGTCAGTTGTGGTGACCGTAATGTGTTATAATCACATGAAACAGATAAGACAGCCGTTAATATATGGTAAGGTGAGAGGGTGTCAGCCAGGCCGCATATAGCATAGTCAGGGCCCCCATGCATATGAACCACAGTAGACCAGTGGGTGAGAGTGAACATCTCGGTTAGCAGTGTGGCTCGACGTTGTGCCTTCAAGGCACCGGATCGCCTGGCATAACATAATGTTTAAGGGCTTGTGAATCGATACTGTCATCCGTTGTGAACGTCAAAAGTGCAATACACCGAGAATTTTTCACACAATAGTACCGTGTCCAGTTATGGGCACTTAAAATACCTGTCTGGAATAACGTTCGTCACCAGCGGGTGGTGTTATGGGAGATAAGAGCAGAGGTATACAGTGAATTCCTCGGTGGATGTTGCATGTGATTTTTTTTCAAACCGCGTATGACCTTTGTATAAGCCGACTCCCCTCTAGGGAAGTAAAGGATCGTCCACAATTAATTGGCTTATATTCGGTATTCCGCATGATGTGGCCCCACATCGGTGACGAATGAGGTGAATTCAGCTACCTGAGATGTCAGTCACAATGGCCAACTAGAGCTGTATTACAAGGCTACTTATACAGTAAAAAGAAGCTGCGACCAACATTGAACGTCCTTGATATTAACCAGGTGCCCATTTTACAGTTAAGATTACATGAATTTCAAATCGGATAATGAATGATCGTCGCGCTTCGGATATCGATCGACCTTCCTTTGTCGTTTTAATAGTTGAGAGAGTAAAGGAGGAAGATGAGCCGTTAACGATATATTCATGGCAGTCTATAGTGCATCAATCAAGCATCAATGTATCGCAATACGAATGTGTACCGTGTACAAAGGGATAACACATAACGAGTAACATGAGCCTAAGCAGAAAATATTGTACCTGATAGGTTCCAGACTGAATAACCTCTCCCGATTGGCTAAGTACCACGATCCAATCAGCCTGAGGCAGCCATTGCAGTGAATTCGTAGTCATCAAACGAGTTTTGTGTCCCAGTAACCCGCAAGGCCCAATAATATGAGCGAAGAGATGCTGTGCGACACCACTGTCCACGGCAGATAGGGGATCATCAAGCAAATATATATCGGCATCCTGTGAAAAAATAAAGGATATTTCAAGGATAATAAGTTATGGGGGAATATCCGCATACGAAGATTGTAAAATAGGAAAGTTGCAATGACATTGCTAACTTGTAGACGACTACATAGCCGGTAGTAAAGTGGCGGGATTGCAAAGTCAAAAATTCAGTAACAAAACGGGGGGGGACAAAACCAAAGCCGCCACTTTACAATACAAGCGTACAAGATCGTTACTCAGTGCCATCTGCCTGCTAGACACCAAACATCGCCATAAGGTGAAACCAAATGAGCAACTAAGAGTGGCAGAGGTAAAATAAGTCATATAAGGGAAACGAAGCCACTCTAAAGGCGCACAAAATATTATTACTAATATTAATAGTGATAATATGAGGGCACATGAACTACCTAATGCCCGACCACATTTAAGATCAGCGATGGAGGGTACTGATCACTTCAAGTGTGCTGCTGCTACACAGCCATTGTAAGACGGAAGTAAAGCATGGGGTAGAAGGAGTGAATGGATAAGATACTCATGTCGTCGGGAAACCGGTGACCCCGGAGAACGATTTGGAAATTGCATCAGTAAATGGGCTACATACAACACTATCGAGTTCTAAATCAGACATCTCATGCAGTAGTGTCATAACACTACGTGCGCATGCAGCGTGCAGCCCGGTGCGCCCCTGCCTCCGTTTTCATGAAACTTGCAGTGGTAACTTGCCCGTTTGGACATTTAAAATGCATGGCAACGAACGAGCAAATAATACCGATGGGCCGCTGGCTCTCAAAATAAGTTTTGTGTTCTTATCTATCATGCAACAAGATTTAGAGTACTACAGAATTCTTTCAAGAAAAGTGCAAACTTTGAACTAGTGAAATGGTGCCCAGAGCTCTGCAATTGAACGACATCAAGTATCTAGTTAGTATGCTAAACGCACGAGGCTTACCCGCGGATGTAACATATTTGATCTCAGTCAACGCGCACAAAGAAGAGCGGAATCTGCAGCTAGTACTCCGCGATGCGCATACAGTTTGCTATTAGTGGTATCACACAAGTTCAAACCATGTGCGTCAGAGATTGACATGACACCTTGGTCGAATACAACACCAAAAGTACGAGTACTAAGAGACAATACAAACAAACAGTTGGATTTCTGAATAAAAGTGTTAGCAATAGCTGTAGATCAGGAGTGTCCAAACCTTACGCAAGGAGGGTCACATTTTGTGAGGTAAACATGTCGGGCCATATTCAGTTTGACATTAAGATAATAAAAGATTACGCATGCCATCAATTATTTATTGCAAGCTGTTAATGTGAAAAGTGAAACTGAGTACCTGAGGTCTTTATTATTAAATTTAGTTAAAACAGTTTCATTAGAGGCAGCCGATTGACATATGCCAGTTAGTTAAAAAATAAACAGTATATCATTGATTTTTGCAGACATCAGACGCCATTGAATTTTTTACTCATAACATCCATAATTTTTGTAATCTATGTCGTTGTTCGAAAAGAATACCAAAGCCTAAAGTTATTATTTCACGATGAGGTCACGGGCCAGTTGAAATGTTAACGTGGGCCGCATTTGGCTTGCGGGCAGGACTTTGGGCATCCCTGCTGTCTGAGAGAAAGTAAGAATGGCCCGGAAAATCTATTATTTTAGCGACTAATCGATTATTAACGAGTATGGATTTTGAAGGCACTGGTATGTTCTAAGTTGTGCACGTGACTATCAACCACTTGACATGTTGGCCAAATCTATGGGGAAACTCGGTGGTTGACTTTCCAAATCCATAGGTCGAAGGTCAGTAAGGTGCCTGTAAATATTGCCAAAGTCCGCGGCAGTTGTATAGTGGTTTGTTGACGGCGGTTAACACCTTATTTTGTCAAGGTTATTGGCGTCCAGTTTGTTCCTTCAGTTGGGCTAGAAGTTTCGTGGAGCAGTAAAGTGTCCATTTTTTGAATCGCTTCTAATCAAATTATGACAAATAGTGAAAGAGAAAATTGGTGTGATGAATTTTTATGCCGAACAATTTCAAAAGCTGCTTTTCCAACAGCAATCTCAAATGGAGGCACAATTGAAAATGATCGAAAAATTGACACAATGCTTCAGTTTGCAGCCAACAGAAGCAGCGACGCGGGACAGGCAGGCGTGTTCTGTTAATCCTCTCACGAATGCAACCACTGAATCCAATTACGACGCGGATCCTGAATGCGCATTCGAACCGTGGTTCAAGCGCTGAGATGACATGTTCCGGACGGACTTTATTTTCAGGACGACTCATGGAAGGTACGATTGCTATTTCGTAAGCTGGGAACAAGTGAACAATCAAGATTCATAGGCCACATACTGCGCAAACAGCCGAAGGATCTGGCGTTTGAAGAAGCAGTGTCGCAGCTGAATGAAAGTTTTGGTGAATCAGTATCCTTGTTTAGTATTCGTTATCAATGCCTGAAAAATGATGACTTTGGGTCCCTAGTAGACATGATTAACCGTGAGTGTGAGCGTTTCAAGCTATGCTCTTTAACGGACGATAAAATTAAATGTCTCATTTTAGTTAGCGCTCTACGGTCCCCCCAGTGATGCTGAGATCCGCACGGCTGCTCACTCTAAAACACGACACTGCGCTGATCGAACGAAATGGTCTCGCACCACCAAATACGGTGCTTACCGTGAAAAAGTCCAGGACTGTCAACTCAAGCAAAGACTTCAAAAGGCCTACGAACAAACCACCCAAAGCCTGCTGGTCAAGCGGCGAATGGCATTTCGCGCGCTTTTGTCCATTCAAACATCATATTTTTCAAATGTGCCATAAGCTTGGGCATAAGGAGGAATTCTGCAGGCAGGTCCGGCCGAAGAACGTGAAGAAGTCTTAAAGAAAGAGGAATTCTAGGAAAGATGGTGCAGAGTTTCGGACTATAGTTGCCGCATTCCAAAGTGAGTGTACACCGAGACACGATTCATCAGCGTGTTTATCAATGGGATCCCAACGAAACTGGAATTCGACACGGACTCTACTTCACGATTATTTCCAGGAACACATGGAATCACATAAAGAGGCCAAAGATGGTCGAGTCTCACAAAGTTGCACATAATGCATTCGGCGGTGTGTTAAACTTAGCGAGCGAAGTTACTTGCAAGATTGCTTTCAAAGGTGTGGAATAGTCGGGAATGTGCTACATTTCAGACCGGCCGAATTTGAAGCTTCTTGGTTTCGACTGGAATGAACAGTTGAAATTCCTCGATGTTCCCTTGAATCAGATCTGCAACCGAGTCCGAGCAAATCCAGAGCCATCATCCGACGAAGACATGACACATTCACTGGAGCGAAAATCTGCGTTTGACTTTCAGAATGACTTGAGCCATTATACAAAATTCAAGGCAACGCTGAGCATGCGATCAGTAGCCGAACCAGTTTGTAAGGCTAAAAGACGGGTAACATGTGCAGCCATGTCAACCGTTGATCAAGAACCCGATCGACTGGAACGAACCGGAGTCACCACAGCCGTCACCTACTGATCAAGGGCCGCACCTATTGTCGCAGTGAAGAAGGCAAATGACAAGTTACATGTCTGCGCTGACTTCTCTACTGGCCTTAACGCCGTGCTGGACGATCATCAGTACCCATTACCTGTACCGGAAAATATCTTGGTAAAACTGAATGGTAGTAAGTGCTTTTCTAAGATTGACCTATCCAATGCCTATCTTCAAGCGGATGTTTCCGAAGACTCGGGGGAGTTGTTGACGATCAACACTCATCGTGGGCTATTTCAACAAAGCCGCTTGCTCTTTGGTGTAAAAACGGCGTCAGCCATTTTCCAACAGTTTATGGACACCATGTTAGAGGGCGTTTATGGAGCGGTCGCATATCTGAATGATATAAAGCACGATCAAAGGGACAGAAAAACATAAATTCCATAAACACAGCTAAAAACGCCCACATGCACACTTACATACATTCATATATCAACATATGCGACATTCCCATTGTACAATTGTGCTCTTAACATGATCATGCCTGGGTAGGCGTGCCTCGCTTAGTCGAGAATAAACATTTTAGTTACTTATTTATTCATAATGATGGGTCGAACACCGAAAGAGCTATTAAAACACCTGGTTGAAGTGATAGGTCGTATACAATCGTGAGGTTTCCGGATCCGTGAGGACAAATGCATATTTTTCACGCCAGTCATCAAATACTTCGGCTGCATGCATGAAAAGAGTGGACGTCGAGCAGATCCAGCAAACGTAGAAGCCATTAGAAAATTGCCTCCACCAACAAACGGACAGCCTCTGCGTACCTTTTGCAGGCTCATCAGCCACTACAGCGCATTCTTGCCTGAGATGTACCGCCTGCGTGCCCCGCTAAACAAGCTACTAGCCAAAGGCCAAAGTTGGAACTGGACATCAGAATGACAGAATGCCTTCGAACGGGTCAAGATATTGCTGTCCTCAAACTTGCCTCTGACTCATTTCGATCCTTCCAAAGAGACTGTCCTAGTCACAGATGTATCAAATCATGGCGCAGGGTTTGGCGCAGTAATTTTACACATGTTCTCCGATAGATCTCAGAAAGCAATCGCCCATGCTGCTAGAACATTTACGAAGGCCGAGAAGGATTGCAGCCAGATCAAGAAAGAAGCATTGGCCATACTGTTCGCGGTAAAGAAATTCCACAAAATGTTGTACGGCCAGCGCTTCGAGTTTCTGACAGATCACAAGCCCTTGCTGGCTATCTTTGGTTCGAAAAAGGGCATTCCGGCCTACACAGCCAAACGGCTACAACGTTGAGCTCTTATCATTATGGGTTATGATTTCGAGATCCAGTATCAGTCGGCAATTTCCATTGGCCAAACGGATGCACTGTCACGACTAACTGATGCCCAATAGCAAGAACATGAGGACACAATAATTGCCTCAGTCGAGATCGAACCTAACGTCAACTATTTGGTAAGTTCTAAATAAGACAGTGGAAAGACTGGTATTGTGAGATGGAACCATTTCATGTTATTTG